GGAAGAGGCAAGCCTCTAGGGCCTTCAGCCTCTACGCCAACATCGACATCCTCCGGCCCTACTTCGACGTGGAGCCTGTCCAAGTGCGCGCCAGGTGGGCAGGGCCCGGCCTGGGCCATCTCCACTGCGGGGCATGGGGGAACGGGGGGGCAGCAGCTTCTTGCTGGCTGGCTGTCCCCCCAAAGCGAGCAAGCTGGGGTGAGCTGCCAGCCTGGCAGCAGGGCTCAGATATGGGGAAACATGCTATGCTTTGTCCCAGTGTCCTTAATGAGGTCCCCCAGGTGGGCTGGCAACCCTGTCACCCAGCACTGCTGCTCAGGGCAGAAGAAAGGGCTTTGGGGCATCTTCAGCCTTTTACTACTCAGGTGCATTGTGTGGCTTCTGTGGGTTTGCCACACAGCTGTGTCCAAAAAGGCAAAATTTTGTGAGGTGGAATGAAGAAAAGTGCTTTTCCTTCCTGCTGTTCTGTCAATGATCTCTCATCCCCAAGTAGATCCCTAAACGTTTTCATTGAATTCCCCCTAGCAAAGTTAACCCACGGACAGTAAGGTTTTTCTCCTTTAGTTACCTTATATGACCCTTTAGAAGGAATCTCTGTCCCCCAAGGCCTGTGATCACAGCAGAAAACACTGGTAATGGGTGTATGGGATCTTTTACTTTTGATGCATTTTGGTAATCATCCTGTTGTCCTCCCTGCTCCTGATGTCATTCCCTGCTTTGCTGTGATGCAGACTGCTGGAGTCCATGATTCCTGTGAAGATGATTAATTTCCCACAGGTGAGTTCCCTTTTGCTGAATCAGACTCCATGGCCAAGTGAATGTCCCACAGACACCTTGTAAAGCTAAAATAGTCCGTGTTATTAAGGACCTGAGTTTGTTAGGTTTTCATCTCCCTGAAAATACTGGTAAACCCTTTCCTATGGTTGTTCCAAACCCCGATCTGCTACCTTTAGTGCTGGTGCAGTTCTAGACCTCTAGACTTCACACATCCCAGACTCCTCATCACACAACCTATTCTGCCTGGCTCCTGTCATCAATGGCCTTGCTGTTACTTCTCAGGCGGATAGGTGATAAACTTCATCCAAGGCACCTCTCGTATCACTTGGGGCGGGGAGCCTGGTGTTCAGGAGCACTAACCAAACCTTCCCTGATCTGTCTCCTCCTGTAGAAGATTGCAGGCGAGCTTTATGGACCCCTCATGCTGGTTTTCACACTGGTGGCCATCCTTTTGCATGGGATGAAGACCTCGGACACCATCATTGTATGTCGAGTCTCGGTGATAAGTTGTGGTTTGACCGGGCTCTGGATTGCTATAATGACACTAGAAAGGGAGAGGAAACCTCTTCTATGACTGAATAGCATCTTGCTGAAAAGCAGATCAATTTGAGGAAGAGCCCGTTTGGTTTGGGGATGGGAGGAAGGACACATGAGAAAGTCTTGATATTCTGCTGCTGGGAGAGCTTGGATGTTGGGAGAGATCTGAGAACACTCTGTGGTGGGATTTGGGTGCTGGCAGGTCACTTAGAATTGTAGAATAGAATATATTTTGAGTTGGAAGGCACCCATAAGGATCATCAAGTCCAACTCCCTGCTCCTCACAGGAATACCTAAAACTAGACCATGCAACTAAGAGTGTTGTCCAGACGCTCCTCCTCACTTCTTTGAGTCCTCCTCATCCTGACGCTGTCTCCACAGAGGGAAGGCACACTGATGGGCACAGCCATTGGCACCTGCTTCGGTTACTGGTTGGGCGTCTCCTCTTTCATCTATTTCCTGGCATATCTGTGCAATGCCCAAATCACGATGGTGCAGATGCTGTCGCTGTTAGTAAGTAAGATGGGGATGCCCCAAGGTGCGGGTTGGCTGCACGGTGTTCCAGCACGAGGGTGGACTGTGAGCTTTTCCCAGAGAATGGGAAAAGTCCTTGTAAATCGGTGGTCCCAGGTGACTGCACTGGGACAACCTGGAATTCCAGGATGCTTTTCTCATCTACCCCATCCAAGGCCCAGCGATAGCACAAATAAGCAGTTCCTTCATGCAGGTCTCCTGCTCTGAGCTTCCTGATCTGAGAGCCTGGTGGTAAAAACCAGGAGATTCCAATTTCTCTGGAATCAGAGGCTCTTTCCTCTGTTTTCCAAGTTGTTGCAATGTTTGACATCCCTGTGGATCCTTCAGACAGCTTATCTGGGTGTGAGCTGCTGTTAAAACTGTTGTGCTGGTTGACTCTTTGGCACTGAATGAGTGGTTTGTGAAGCTTTGCCTTGGTGAAGCGTTGCAGGAATAGGCTGCTCATGCTCTTGATCAACAGCCTTTTGTGTGGGACTGACGCTTGTAACATGGACATTTTTGTTTTGTCAGGGCTATGGCCTGTTTGGACACTGCATCACTCTCTTTGTGACCTATAATATCCACTTCCACTCCCTCTTTTATATCTTCTGGTTGGGTGTTGGTGGACTCTCTACACTACGAATGGTAAGGGACAGGCAGCCTGGGGCCCTCCTCCTCTGGGGACAAAAAAAGGGAGGGAAGTGGTGTTTGCTTTCTGTTCCTTGGGCCAGGCAGTTCATTTCACAGCCAGTCGGACTGATGTGAAGAACAGCCTGATGCTCCTGGGTCATTTGGTCACTGGTGTATGGAGGTGACACTTGGCTTAATATCCTGACACATTCTAACTGCTGCAGGAGGTTTGCTCCCTTGCAGCCCCTGCTGCCGTGAGCCATGTCTGAGCATCCTGAACTCTTGACAAGACTGGACAAGGTTCACCTACATGAAACAAAGTCAGATAACTCTGAATTTGGTCATGCAAACTGCAAAAAAGGCTCTGAGCAGTGTTTCCACTGGCTCATGCTCCTTGGAACATCGTCCTGTGTGCTCCTGACTGCAGTGCCAGAGGCTCAGGTAGCAGCTACCTTGTCTCTAATCTCCACCTCTCTCCCAGGTTGCCGTGTTGGTGTCGCGCACCGTGGGGCATACGCAGCGGCTCATCCTGTGTGGGACCCTTGCTGCTCTGCATATGCTTTTCCTCCTCTATCTGCACTTTGCTTATCACAAGGTGGTAGAAGGTAAGCAAGGGAGATATGAAGACATATCCTGTTAGATCTGGGGGAAGAGGAGCTGCTTTTTGTTCTCTCTGAGAGAAAGGATGGACAGTTTGGATCTGACCCGAGGGCATCTGTGCCATGTTGCAATCCAAGAGTGACCAGCACTAGCTTTATTAGAGGAAGCTGTCGAAGTAGGGCAGCAGGTAGATGTGGGGTAGTCTCTGTGCACTGAGTTTTAGTACTTACAGTACTTAAGGCCTAAGTTGTGAGGCAGGACACCTACTCTTTCCCCACAAGTGAAGTGTTACAGCACTGACTGTTCTTGCATGCAGATGTCCAGTCCCTTCTTGAATCTTGCTGAAGTCAGGTTGCTTTTCTCTGATCAGGAAATGTGTCATAAGTCTTTTTCCTTCTTTGTGTAACACCTTTTTTTTATCTCGTGTTGTACAACACTGATTGCAGAAGCTGCATCTTCCCCAGTCAGTGCCATTTACCAGGCTACACACATTCTGGTCCCCTTTTAAAAAAAAAAAAAAAAAAAAAAAAAGCAAGCCCCTTTCTCCGTTTAGGCAGTCAGATCTGTTCATGGTATTGCAGCTAAATCTGCATAATTTTGGGTTACATTACAGCACAGCATTACAAGTCCTTTTAGATGGAAATACGGTTCTTTCCCTGGATCCATTCTTATGGCGAAGATTCTGAGCCCTCATCTGCAACTTTTCAGCAGATGAAATAGAAAATTGCTTGGAGTATATTTGATCCTTCAAGGATTTCCAAGACTGATTATCAGTCTTGAGAAGGTTATTGACAGGAACTGGAGGACACTTGCATCGGTGTGCATGTTTCCTGCCAAGCAGGGGCTATGTTTGCATTGCAGTGACAAAAATTCCACGTTGCACCCCCAGCTGCAGCTCCTGATTGAGTCTGCAAGCGTATCTCAGGATGAAAGCAGAGAATTGGTCTAAGAGCAGGGTCTGTGCTGGGATGAGGTGGGGAGAGGATTTTATCAAGCTGCCTCAGCAGGACAGTATCCCTGGCAATGTTTGCATTTGGGTCAAATGGCAGGGGACGACTGGATCTGGTACCCTCAAAGTGAAAGGATCTATGTTCTTCTTGGGAACACGCAGTTTCCCTGTCCCAAGGACAAGCTCTGATTTGTACCCTGTGGGCTCTGGATGGAGGTGTTTACTGCTGTTCATTTTTTGGGGCTAGATGTCTCCTCCCATCGCCTCCATGTGCTTCGCATGCATCAGCTACTACCTGGCCAGAAAGAAAAGAAACATGCCATCTGCATCTGAACTAACTCTTGCCACTCTCCCCTTTTTTCTGTTCCCTGCAGGTATCCTGGACACATTGGAAGGACCCAACATGCCACCCTTTCAGAGAGTTGCCAGAGACATTCCAATTGTTTCCAATGCTGTATTGAACACAACAGCCAAAGCCGTTGCATTGACCCTGTAGTTTCACAGACTTGGACTTGCTTCCTTCACTACTTTCGGGGCTGCATAGGGCCATAATAACCTGCTGCCACTTAGGAACTGGACAGAACAGCAGGAAGAAGACTTGGTTTTGTTTTCCTGGACCTGTCCTTTGGGTTGCAGTTTTGGGCAGCTGAGTGGACTGCACCTCAGTGACTCAGAAGAACTACATTCTTCCCCCACCCAGGTCTGGGCTGCCTTGAGTAGAGTGGTTCTGTTGCCTGCATGTTTAGCTGGGATTTCCCAGCGCAGTTGTCCCTTACCCCTCTTTCTGCTTGCTGATGTAACCCCAGGGCTATCTGCCCTGTTCCTGTCCTGAAGAGGGAAGAATTAAATTGATGTTGGTGCTGAGCAATGTCTTATGTTTGAGCCTACTTGTGTAATGGGAGAGTGGTGTTGGGTCTCTATGCCTTTATCTATCCTGTCGTAGACTCAAAGCAGGATTCTTTGCAATTTTCTTCTGTCCTACTTCAAATGTTCTGTGATAAGTGGCCTGTCTTGGGCACCTCTTCCATAGCCCAGAAGGCACAGGAACTTTAGTTTCTCTGGAGATTTTCAGGAACAGCACGATGTTTAACCACATTCTCTTCCTTGTCATATTCCAAATTGATCCTGCTCTTTTCACTTGGTCCAAGCTGCTATCTCACCTCACCGTCCCTTCTCCTGTGTATGTCAGAAATGTATTTGTCCCCGTGCTTCCACAGCACCTATTGTTCTTATCACCCTTCTGCCCGTGTTGCTCTGTGCGACAGCAGTTCTGACTGCAGGGGCAGCATGTTTGTGCATGGTCTTCTGTGGATATTTCTATTGAAGAGGCCAGTTCACCTCAGGTCACCCTCATGCAGCTTGCTCTCCTGTCTCCCAGCCGTGGGACTGTCACCCCATTGCTCTGAGCAGTAGCGGCATCCTGCTCCCCCAGACACACAGTCTGCTGTGTACTGTCTGGCTTTTCAAGCTGAGTCTAGGCCTTATTTCTGAAAGGACTTCGGGAGCCTTGAGAGTCTCCGGCAAACTTTTCTCCAGCGTTTCCATTAATCAAAGGGAGAAATGGTGAGTGTACAATGGTAATAGAGTTGGGACGTTTATCTCCAGCATACTGATGCAGGAAAGCTCCAGTAAGGATGGGGAAGCAGAGCAGCACTAGGCTTACTTGCACTGCAGTAACTCACAATTACGTAGTTCAGGTGTAGCCTTCACTCACTGCTCTAACTTTTACTGGTCCATGAATGGAAAGCTGTTAGCTGCTACCTGGCTTTCACCTTCTCTTTCTTCTCCCGGTAGCTCTGAATGACTGGGGCAGAGGAGTTGCCACTCAGAGAAGTTCACCCTTATGCTCGGGCTGGAAAAAAACCCAAGATGTTTCCCTGTCTTGCTGTACCCGCAAGTTAGCTGTGCACAAGGCAGATAGCATTCAGAACTGCACTCTTTGGCCCCTTGCTTATATTAGTGGGAGAGGATGCAGCTGTAGTGGCATTCGGACTAGTGCCAAGGTGCAATGAAAGCAAGAAAGATCGCGCCAGCTACTGTTGTCACGCTGGTCATCTGCTTCAGTTAAAACAAAAATGCCACCTGATAGGACTTCCCCACTTTCAGTCACACTGTTTGCTTATTCCCAAGTTCATAATTTGTTCCCCTTCCAAGAGCAAGAAGGTTGTCTGCTAACAAACACGTACATAATAGACGTGTTCTCTCTCTCTCTTCTCCTGCCCCGCTTCCCCCCCAACCTTGGGAAACATATTTTGGCCAAAGAACACCACTCAAAGTTGTTTGGGGGAGTCAAATTAATTATTTGGGCTAGTGGTTTCCATGGTTTTTTTGGACCAATTGAACCAATTTAAGCTCCTAGAATTTCCTTTACTTTCAAACTTGACAAAATGGAAGTGTTAGTTTGTAATGCTGCATGACTCTGGTATTTCACACTCTATAACTCCACAGGAGGTGGGTTTCTAATTTGCACTTCTTGCCCTGGCAGCCTAGAACAGGTCTGTTTCTCTTGGTGCAAACTCTGCAAGCACAGGCATAGGGGAAGGAATGGAGAAAGAGACAATTGTCACTAGAATAACTCCAGCAAAGAAGAAAAATCATTCTGTGCCAAATGCTATCACTGCTGATCTACAAACACTGTCAGAGAAGAGCTGTGCTCCCCTCCCACACCTAGCCACTTAGCTAAATCAGAGGGAGGAAGCTGCGCCCTGTGTTTTCACTCAAAGCACAGGAGAGAGCAGCGAGCAAACTCTTCGTGCTTCCCCTGCACAGCTTGTGTGTCCCTCTCGGAAGCTGTGGGGCTTGCTCTGCTCCAGTTCTTCTGCCCTGATTAATTCTCTGTGCAGCAGCAGCTGGAAGCTGAATTGTTCTGTACTGCCAGAAATTCAGCACTCGGGTGAGAGCTTCAGCATCTCCTTTTGCTGATGGAAAGGGACGCACTTTTGCAGGGAAATGCATGCATGCTGCAGTTCCAGGGAGCATGCTGAGCACGCAGCCTTAGTAAAGTCCTTGTGGGAGGGCATCTCTCTGTGCTTACTCAAGTCCTCTAGTTATCAGGACAAGCCTTACAGCCCTATCATGCCAGACTATCTCTGCCTTTGTTTCCTGCCATGGCTCTTGCAGCAAATCTGAAATAATTCCCCCCATTACCTTCCCCTTTTGAGGAAGGGTAGCTCTGTGAGAACTGTGTAAGCCCCTTTTTATTAAAGCTGAAATAAACATATAAAGCTGTCAGATTAGAAAGAGGAAGATAAAATCTATATTAAAGCATCTATGACTTCCTCCTCTGCTCTGCAGTACCTGGGAGTCCAACCGTTTTTACAGTCCATCCTTGTTGCACTAATTGTCACCTTAGTTGTGTTTTGGGTTACATATAGGCTGTTTCTTCTCCCATTTGTTTTCCTTCTTGCCACTAGTCTCACTCTCATCCACTGTTTTTCTCTGTTTATATGTTAGCTCTTAATGGCATCAGTCCAGAGAGTCAACTCTCATTCCTTGTGCCCCCAGTAGGTAAACAATAAACTACCTTCCTCATACCTGCTGGGTAAGTGCACATGACGAGGAAACAGTATCTAGTTCTTCACAAAATACCACTGCCAAAGTCCCCTCTGCATAGCCCTTAATTAGGTTTAGTGAGCCAAAGCCTTGAACCATTAGCTCCTGTGCCACTTTTCCCAATGTATTTGAGCATAAAGGAAGGTAGGACGCTTGTCTCCTCTATGTGCTCTTGCTCCTGGCAACAGGCAGTGAAGATGCCAGCACTAGGGCATCTTCATCAATGCTTCGGGGCTGCTGCTGTCAATTGAAGTGGGACATGTCCCACGGGCTCTTCTCCAAGCACCTCTCTAATAATAGCCTGTTTAACAAAGCATGGGTTAATTAGTGCCTGGAGGTAATTGCGAGGTGAGACTGAGTGCAGTCTTCCAGTCGACTTGTATGGATCAGCAGCTGGTATTTCCTTGGTCACCTGCTGCCCCCCACTCTGACATCCAGCCTCTGCCCCTTGTAGCCCTGCAATACGTAGGATCCTGTTCTCACCTGGACCATTTAATGTGACCTTAGAGATCAGTTGCTCCTTTCTTGAAAGCTATCACCTGTACCACAGCTGGATGCTCGCAGCTGCTGCTCATGTCCCAGTGCAGATATGTTGCCAGGCCAGTGGTCTGGTCTTGGCACGGCTTGCAGATACAGTATCAAGCCCATGTGTAACAGGGAGATAGAGAGAAGTGTGTAGATAGGTCTAGAGAACAGCAATGGATGACTCAAAGGGCATGGTGACAGCTACACTGTAAATTAGATGCTGCAGCCAAAGTCTTAAAGCTGACATCTGAGTCCAGCTTCTTAGCTGCTGGTCCCCTTGTCTCATGCAGGACCTAAACGTGCAGCCCTCAGCTCAGGCGACCTGGTCCTCCATTTCAATGCAGGAGAATTGCTTCATATCCTCCTCCCCATCCTATTTTTCCCCTCACTTTCCATCCCCTCTCTGCCGCCCTGGCCTGCAAACTAAGCAGAGGAGCCTGGCTTTGTCCCAGAGTTACCCACCGGACTGGAATTCACTTGAGCACTGCTATATGCAGCAGCCAGATTAGTTACGTGCAGAAAGCTGCCTACTTAGGCGGTTTAACCTAATTTCCACATCACTGGCTTCCTTTTTCAGCTCAATGGAGTTGAAAACGCGGGGGCCCTGCTTCCTATTTCTCTCCAAGTACAGGATTACCCGATGGGGGGAGAGAAGGGGCAAATCCCTCTGACACATACCTGCGAATTATCAGGGGGCGAGGTAACGCCCCTCACACCTCAGGTCAGGCTGAGGGTGAAGGCTGCATGCTTGCAGGGATATGGAAGCCTGCGGCACTTCCCCAACCCTCCACACCAGCTGCCTCCGAGCACCAGCTCCACAAGCCCTGGGCCACAAGGAACGGTTCACACTGACCTCGCCATTAAACCACGGATCGAAGCTCAAGGTGTACCAGGTTTAAGCATAAATATCACCAAAGCTGGCAGTAGACTGCTATTCCTCAAACCAACAAGCACCCAGAGTACACTATGGCCCAATGGCTTTGGCCCCTTCTCCAGGCAGGAGTGGGGCTGGTAGGTTGAGACCTTCCCAGGGGCTTCTCCCACCCTCCCTCCCCTCCTGCACCC